GGGGGGGGGGGGGGGGGGGGGGGGGGGGGGGGGGAATGCTGGCCCTTGTTTATTAGTGAAATCATGAAGTCTCTCCGAATTGCTTGACCCTGATTGCAAAGCTGAAAGTCTCGCAGGTCTTTGGCTGAAAGCCTTTTTTTTCCTGCTTTCTCAGCTTTTGAGACCCCCCCCCCCCCCCCCCCCCCCACATTTTCTCCTCTGAAAATTTGTCCCCTCGGCTGCAGCCTTTCAGGACAGATCAGAATCCCCCAAATCTCAGGGGAGGAGGAGGAGCTCTGCGCCCCCATCTGTGACTGAGGGTGCCCGTCCTCCCTCCAGGCCATTTATTGGGGGGGGGGGGGGGGTAAGGGGGCATCTCAAAAGCTGAGAAAGCAGGAAAAAAAAGGCTTTCAGCCAAAGACCTGCGAGACTTTCAGCTTTGCAATCAGGGTCAAGCAATTCGGAGAGACTTCATGATTTCACTAATAAACAAGGGCCAGCATTCCCCCCCCCCCCCGCTCTCCTGCATCCTCTTCTTCTCCTGGCCATTGGGGGTGGGGGATCATTGAGCACTCTATGATTCTTGAAAGTTTGACAGAGAGGCCGGACTGACTCTTCCCCTTCTAGAGGGAGGGGCTCCTCTGGGATTACAGGGACAAACAAATCTGGGCCGGGGGGGGGGACGAGGGGGGGTGGAGGCTCACAGCACTTGGGAGCTGAGTTGAGCCCCTGGACGGGGGTCTCTGGCCACCAGGTTTTCCATCAGCAGCAGAGAATCCTGAATGAAGGGAAGCCGGTTCTCGGATGGAGCCCCGGGTTCTTCTCAGACGCCCTGGACGCTGTCCGGAGCAGCCCCGGGGAAAACGGAGGGATCCGGGTCTCTTTCGTTGGGCGCTGCCCATGGCTCTCCCTTAACCCTCGTCTGCGGGAGAAAGAGGCCACCCAAGGACTCACCTGCAGAGGACGCACACGAAGCAGTTTGGGTGGTAGGTCTTCCCCAGGGCAGAGACCACCTCGCCCTCAATGAACCCGTCACAGCTGAAGCACCGAGTGCCGTAGAGCCGCTGGTAGTCCGACGTGCAGACGTAATCCCCTTGTCGGACAAAGAAGCCCCCCTGGGCCAAGTCACAGCCGCACGCTGCAACCGAAACAGAGCGAGGGGGGTTAAGCACTCTCTGGGGCCCAGCGCCATGCTAGGGTGTGTGAGCCACGGAGGGACGGGCTGCATCTCTGACCGTTTCCTCCTCCTCCTCCTCCTGCTGCAGGGCGATCTGGGAACCAAAGCACGGAGGCACAAGGACCTCTGACCTTGCTGGAAGAGGTTGGGACTAGAAGGGGGGGGGGGGGGCGGCAGGCAGGGGTGAAGGTTCCAGGTGCTGCTACTGCTGGTTCACTCAGGGACGTGCTGCGTACACACATGCACAATGCTAAAAAAAAATGCTTTTGTGCATGCGCAGAAGCAAAAAACAAGATGGCGCCGCCAGTTCGGGGGCGTGGCAGGCCAAATTACTACCTATTCGGCTGAACCTGGCCGAACCAGTAGGTACCCATCTCTGGGGCCGGGTGTGTGTGGCCGACTGGATGTGCGTGGCCGGCTTGGCGCCCCTCCCCAAACGTCTGGCATGTTTCCTCTTCGCATTGGGCAGAGTGGGTGAAGCGATGTGGGATGTCCTTTTACATTTTCCAGGACGGCCCCGCAGGCCGGATCCAACCACGTCGTGGTCCTTGAGTTTGACACCCCCCCCCCTCGGCCCAGACCTTGGTATCTGGACGTGGACCTTTTTAAACATTCATATTTCACTCTGATTTTAATGTAGGCGAAATGTTAATACGCATTGTAAATCCATGCATGTTATGCCACACGCTACATAAACAAGTAAGTTTCAATCCCCACAGCTCTGCTAGGAGCCAGCTGAGCACCAGGGACCTTCTCAGCACCTCATGCATCCCTCAAAGCGACAGATGTGCAGCCTTGGGCTCTTGCTACACAAACTCTACACCACCACAATGTCTGCGCGAAAGGGGTGGGGTTTGCATTGGGACAGCCCAGTGCTGCTTTCCCCATGGGTGCCAAGAGACCCCTTTGCCCAGCCCTGCGGGGTCCTCAGGCTGAGTTAGCCTCAAGGACAGACCAACCTCCAGGGAACACATGGATGAGATGCTCCAACTGACCCAGGAACCCCAAGGACTTCAGCTACCTCAAGGCGGAAGAGATCTTGTTGTGGCCCGCCAGCGTCCTGCGTAGCTAGCAGCAGAGTGAGGACAGTGAGGAGGAAGGTTGGGGAGGAACCTGGGCCACTCTTGGGAGTCTGGGGAAGGCTCTGAGGAGGGCTCTGTGTCAGAGGCAGAGAGGGGGCCAGAGCCATCCGACAGTTATCAGCTGCCTTCAGAGTCAGACTTGGGGCAGAGGAACAGCTGGAGCCTATTCCCAATGTGCGCATGCACAGAGCTGCCAGATGAAAGGAACAGCTAAGGAACAAGGGTCAACTTGGGAGTAAGGCCACAGGTGGATGGTGAATGGCCCCTCCCAGAGGAAATAAGAGAGGAGAGAAAGGGGAGTGGAGTTTGCAGGAGACAATTACTTCATTCCTGCATTCTTGCCACATATTGCAATGGAGTCTGAAAGATTTCGGCCTGGCCCCTCTCCAAGCCCGATAAAGGTGGGTAATTGTGAGCTATCTTGAAAGACTGAGGGAGAGGAAAGACTTTGCTGGAAAGGAATTCCCTGTCAATTAAATAAAAGGGGTTTATCGGGACGAGGACTCAGCTTCGTGCTGCTGAGGAAGCCCCTTTCAGAACAGATCTCGCCTGTGGCCTCCTAGGTGCTGAGCTGAGGCTGGTGGTCATGGGGCCACTCACTCACAAGCGCCCCTTCTCCCCACTGAAGGGCCAGAAGTCTCAGGGACCAAGCCAGTCCCGAGAGACAAATTGGGGCTGTTTGAAGAGCTGCATCCGTTTTTGTGAATGGAGGCCTGGCCTCCCCTGCAAAAGGGCCGCAGCTCCTCTCCTGAAGGCGTCCCAGCTGACGCCAACGGCCTTCCCTGCATTTGAACCGTGGGGGGGTGGGGGGGCTGAAAAGCTCTTCTGCTCCAAAGGGCCCCCACCCCAGGCATTCATGCCGAGCTGGAGCCCGTAAGGGGCACCAGGGCTTTGCAGCCCAGCCTCTGCCAAGGCACAGCTGCCGCTTTGGAGGCGGCGTCTCTGCGACGCCCCTCCGGGCTGGCATTGGGACAGCCGAGAGAAGCCAGCCACACTCATGCCAGCTTCCATCGTCCAGCAACTGTTCCCAGCCGACCCCGGGATCCTCCCTCTCGCCCTGCGGCGGATTCCTCTGCCGGCTCTCCAGGATGACATTCAGTTCTCTGGAAGGACCCTATTTATAGAGCAGCCGCCGAGGGAGGGATCCACCCTGGGCCAACTCAGCCCCCCACCCCCCAAGCGATGGCCTTGTGTTTACTGTGAAGTTAACCCTGCAGTGTCCTCCCTCGGTCACCACCCCTGAAGACATCACGCATCCTCTGACCCGCCCACAGAATCCGCCTTCCTTCCTGGTCCGATTCTTCCCTCCCTGGAAGGGCCCTGCGCCCCCTTCCCCCCCCAGGGCCACCTCGGCTTCCCATCTAAGGGCCCACCTCCTTACAGAGGTTGCTCTTCCCCTCACGGGCCAAGGGGCCCCACCCAGGTGAAGAAAACCTAACATCTGTCCCGGACATCATCCTTGGGTGTCCCAGACTTTTGGGAGGGCCCAAGAGAGGAAATGGGGAGATGCTGTTTCTACCCCCAAAGTCAAGAGAGCAGCTCAACCTCCTTGTCTGGAGCCCTGACCCCCCTTTTTACAGGGGGTGCATGCAGAAATCACAGTGTCAGAGCCAACCTCTGGACTTACCCACGCAGCTGGCCAGCAATGGGCCTCCAGGTATTATACTGATTTTTATTTCTGAACAGAGGTTTTGACTTGTCTTACACCCCAGAGCTGAAACCTAATTGGGGGGAATATAATTTGCACATGGGAAAATAGGACACTTAAATGGGGTGTGACTGTGCCAATTAATGTTGATGACCCACCTTAATTTAACTGTCCTCTTTTCCTAGGTGCAAATTTCTGCAAAGGTTTCAGAAGGGCCAGTTTTTGGGAGCAACATCTGGCCAAACCCCGTGGCAAAATGGCGAAAGAAGCTCAGTGTTCATTCCGTTTCCCGGCTACGTACGCAGGTCACGGGACGTACCTTTGCAAACGAAACACTTAATGTGGAAATACTTCTTCTGCACTCGCAGCACTTCTCCTTTGCAGGGGCTCCCACAGTTGTGGCAAAGGATGGCGGCTCCAGCGGGTGCCTCCAAGTGGCTGTGCACAGCCTGTCGCTGGGAAGCTGCTGGAAAGGGAAAGAGCCTTTATCATCAAAGGGTTGAAGGGAAGGTGGAGGCTCCCATCCCTCCTTTCACCCTTCTGCAGAAATGACCCCGGCCGACTCTGACTCTGCTCACGTTGGGGCAGGGGTCTCCAACCGGTGGACTTCAACTCCCAGGATTCCCCAAGAACCAGCCAGGGAAGGAGGACAATTGTTTCTGCTTGAAAGTAGGGCAAAAAAAGAGGAGAATTTGGGAAATATAGACCACTCTCTGACCTCAACACCTGGGAGGCTCCTCAAGTAAATCATAAAAAGATCCATGAAAATAATGGAGAGAGAGAGACTCTTTCTGAAATTCTCAGCGATGGGATTGAGAGGACTTTGCACAGAGCTCATTTCCCACAGTACTTTTTTTTTTACTCAATCACATTCACCAGATAATTTATTTTTTCGTGTCCCTGTAATCCCTTTTTATTGGGGTGGGGTCGGGGGAACTGAATGGAGCTGAACGTTTACTGGCCGGATGCCCTCCCTGATGCCTACGTGGAGTTCTCAACAGATATTTTTTCTTTGCGCCCTGACAGAGAAACATCTGTTGCTGCCTGGGATTGAACTCTCAACCTCCCGAGTGGGAGGCGAGCGTCTTCCCCTCTAGGCCGCCACATCATTCTAATTACCTTAATGAAATTTAAGATCAATGATAGTTTTCATTGCCTACAGGGTGTGTAAAGTAAGGCATTTTATATGGAATAAGAAAAACCAACACTACTTTTTTTAAAAAAATTAAGTTTTTATTGGTTTTTTTAATACAAATAACATTTATGAACAAAACATTGTCCAGGTTTTCTTTTACATCCTCTTTTATACACAATCCATTTTACATCATAATTCTATTTCCAATTTCAACTCTATTATTCTCTTCTCATATTTTCTATCTTAAACTTATTTTTTTCGTTATATAAACAATATCATTAATTGCCCCTTCAAAGTTATACCAATTCATAATTTCATGATTCCTCTTTTCAACTACTTTACCCTAATGAAACCATCTAGCTATTTTTATTTTCTTTTTCTTCTATTCTTGTTCTTCACTTAAGCCTTCTTTTCCTCTCTTCTATTTCCTGATCCGAGTGCTCCATCCAAATTTCTAGCTTATTCTTGCTTATTCATCTCAAATCGTTCATTATGCATCCATGATACCAATTTGACAAATGAACATTTTTTCCAGCACAGTTCTCTTTCCATTTCCAGCCCAGTTTATTCCCTTCCCATTGGAAAAGCCAACATGACTGAAGTGACTAGGAAGGAATTCTAGCAGTGGCTACGCATCGAACCCAACTGAATGAAATCAAGATTTCAAGCTTTGTGTTCCTTTCTCATCTACTCTTGTGAGACGATGGGGCCAGGAGTCCTTCTCTTTTGGGGAAGAGGGGCAGGGTCTACCTGTCCCCTATTTTTATGATGGTTCAGGTATTGGGTGGTTTGCTTGAGAACTTGCTCACACACCGGATAAGTTGCCTTCCTATCCAAGCCGGATCCTGAAAGGCAGCCTGGTTGATGCTTCAGCTCTGTCTCTCTCTTACCCATCCAGGCCTTAATCGGATTTCTGTCCTCCCTGGCTGCAAATGTCGTGGATTTAGACCCAGCAGGAGCCCAGAGAGAGGATGACCCCCCCCACCCCCAGGCTGATATAATGCTGGTAATTATGCAGCAGAAAATCACTTTAAAGAGAATAAAAATACTCCAAAATTGTTGTCTTGGAGACTCAGCCTGCATTTCAGTGAATGCTAGCAGATGTTCCTTATGCTGGACTTGAGGAAAACTTCCATTCTTCAAGAAATATGCAGACCAGGAAAAATTGACTTCTAACTGGGCTATTAGAGGGGGGGAGGGAGGCAGGCTGGGGAGAGGAGACCATGCAGGAGACAGATAAATGGAGGAGCCCTTGGCTCTCACACAAACGGAGACCTTCAGATACCCAACAAATAGGCCAGCTGAAAGGCAAGACACACGGATGGATGGAGGCAGGCGCTTCCCTTGATTTATCTCCCAGCAGTGACCTCAGTGGCTGAAGCGGAGGAGAAGATGCCATCCCCCCCCACGCACACACACAGGTGTTCTCATCCTCTTGACCATCACCTTCTCTCCAGGCACCTGGAGCTGATCTCGGGGTCAGAGCACCGGCTGCCAAGGGCTTTTCGGAGCCAGCCCTGCGAGCCCAGGAGTCCTGCTGCTTTTGTAAATCCAGAACTGGGTCTGCTTGGCGCCAGTGCGCTCCTCCCTTCACAGCCATCAATCCATCCTCTCCGTGGGGACTGAATACCACCTTTGTCTCTGCTAAACGGAGCAGAGGGTTGAGTTCAGTCACTCCACAAATCAGGAAGATCCTGGCAGCCCCTTTCCCGGCTTTCATTTAAAAAAGGCGGAAGCGTTTTACTTGGCCTCGTAGTGATTTTTAAGTCCCTCTTCACAACTGCCCGGACAAAACCTATCCAGCCACGGTTGCCTGCTGATTGCTGCACTGATGTCCGGCTGCAGGAAATCCTCAGCCCAGTCCGAGTCCAGGTGGCCGGATGGTTCAGGTAGCCGCTGGCTGGCAGCTTCAACTTCAACTCAATTCATCCTGCAGGGGTTAAGGCCTCTGCCCAGCCTCTTGGCTGCAGTCCAGTCTTCGTTGGGCTGGCACTTGTTTTTGGTTCTCCTGGTTGTGCCCATCCCTGGCCTAGTCTGCGGTGACACCTACCTCCAGGAGCTCCCCAACTCCATGGTTCTCTAGTTCCTGTTCCAAGCTCCCCTGTTCAACTTTGGAAATCTGGCCTCCAGAAGGATGGGGACCGGGTCAGCCACCAGGCTCTCTAACCCGTTTCGATTGAGGACTCAACTTCCTTCCTGACCTCCCTCGGTCTCCAAAATCCCCAAAGGCTTTTCACCTGGACGTCTTTGTCCAGAGGCTCTCCGATCCCTTCGCTCCTTTGGCCATCCCCACAGTAAGGACAGCGTGTCAGTATGTGCTCAGCTTCGAGGCCCAAGTGGGTTGAAGGGAACTGCCTCCTTGCTAGGTGGATGACTGTGCATTTTCTTAGCTGCTTTTAATTTATTTTTTTCATATGAATCTGTTTTTATTTGTAGAATTAAATAATTGGTCTCCTGCCCAGAGTTGTCATTAGGATGAGCAGCTAAATGAATGGGTTAATTTGGTCACCACAATCTTTAAAAAGATGCGGAGACTCTGGAAAGAGTGCAGAGAAGAGCAACAAAGATGATGAGGGGACAGGAGGCTGAAACATATGAAGAACGGTTGCAGGAACTGGGTACGTCTAGTTGAATGGAAAGAAGGACCAGGGGAGACATGACAGCAGTGTTACAATATCTCAGGGGCTGCCCCAACGAAGCGGGAGTCAAGCTATTCTCCAAAGCACCTGAGGGAAGGACAAGAAGCAACGGGTGGAAACTCATCAAGGAGTGAAGCAACTTAGAGCTAAGGAGGAATTT